TTTCAAAAAAAAAATCCAATTTTGATTCATTGGACCACAGGACACTTTTCCACTTCACCTGAGTCCATCTTAAATGAGCTTGGCCCCAGAGAAGGTGGTGGCTTTTCTGGATCCTGTTTATACATGGTTTCTTCTTTGCATGGTAGAGCTTTACCATCTCAGCCTCTCTGGGATGCTCTTTTTATACCCAGTCATGTTACTGACTTCTTGCAAATTAACCTAATTAGTTGTGAGATGTTCAATTAGGTATTTTTTAGCATTACATAACTTTACTAGTCTTTTGTTGTCCCTGTCTCAACCTTTTTGAAACATGGCTGGCATCAAATTCAAAATGGACATGTATTTTTCAGAAAGCAATCTTTCTCAGTTTCACTGTTTGACGTTTTGTCTTTGTACTATTTTCAGTTAAATAGAGGGTTTAAATGATTTGCATATCATTGCATTATGCTTTTATTTACATTTTGCACAACGTCCCACCTTTTTTGGGAATGAGGTTGTAGTGTATTATAACATTTTTCACTTACTTCCTCTTACAGTGCTTCAATACAGGCATTATTGTTCTCAGGTGCATGTCTGTAGTATATGGCTCTAGTTGTGTGACCAATTACACCACCCACATAAAACTGTACATACAAAATCAAGACCTGTAATTTAATTTATAGTTTATTGTTTAGCAAAAAAGACATTAACAACTCTTCAAGAGCTGAATAAACTCAGCAATTGTGACTGGTGGAATTAATGGGTTAATTGTGTTATTGACCAGCTAGTATTTATCTAGATATTAAAATCTACCTTCTGAAACTCCATGTCTAAGTTGAGTGAAGTATTTTATCAGTCTGTTAATTATTTCCTCTCATAGTGCTACATTTATCATATTCTTTTGAACTGGTTCTGTTTTCCAGCTTGCCTTTAGCCATGGTAGTTCCTTTTTTTGGTACAAACCCAGTTCCAAGAAAGTTTGGAGAGTATGTGAAATGCTGATAAAAGCATAAAGCAGCGATTTGTAAATCCACTTTGACTTATATAAAGACAAATATCTAGACAAGATTTCTAATGTTTTATCTTATCACCTTCATTGTTTTTTGTGAATATACACTCATTCTGAAACGTCTGCAAGATAAGACTTTGTTCTTTTGGCAGGGAAAGTCCAATGTCAGCAACATCCAGAAACGCTGCACAATGGAAATGTGTGTTGTGGTTTGACGAGTCAACCTTTCAAAATGTTTGTGCAAATAATGGACGCCGTGTTGTCTGGATCGAAGAAGAGAAGATCCAGATTGTTACCAGCATAAAGTTCAAAAGCGTCTATGCTGTTATGGGCAGTGTATTAGTGCATAACTTGGTCTGTGAAAGCACTGATTCTGGAGCAGCGAATTTTGCCTGTTAGACACTGTCTTTTCCAGGGACATCCATGCTTATTTCAACACGACAATCTACACACAGCAACATGGATGTGTAATCAGACAGTGCAGGTGCTAAACTGGCTCCCAGTGAAAATATGCAGCACATTATGAAGTGCAAAATATGACAATAAAGGCCCCATACAGTTGCATAGCTGAAGACTTGTGTAGCAGAAGAATGGCTGAAAATTCTGCTTTCTGAATAAAAAAAGTAGATCAGTTGGTGTCTTGAGTCCCCAAATGATAATGAAGTGCTGTTAAAAGGAAAGGTGATGTAACGCTGTGGTAAACATGCTTGTGTACCAGCTATTTTGGAATGTGTAGCAGGCATCAAATTTGAAATGAGCATATGAACCAGGGGCATAGGACCACGGGTAATGGTCGACCTGACTAATGAGGGCCCTGCCTGGATGAAGCCCCCTCCTAAAAGCCCACACAAATAAATTCATTTTGGTTTCTAATTTTGCTCATTTTTGTTACTTTCTGTCATTATAGAAATAAATACTAACTTCCTTCGTAAGTTCTGTTAGTTCAGGGGCAGCCACAGTCACTGAGGGAGAGAAAGCAGCACCTCTGCCTTTACTGATGCAGCTGAAGACATGAGACAAGGTGAGCTCACCAAAGCAGGTAGTTCATAGGTTTTCAACTTCCACTCAACCATTTGTTGAGCAATTTAAGTGAAAATGACAGTACATATACTTTAATATTTTAGTTGTGTTTTCCTCTCTAATTACATTAATTGTCTTGAGGTTAAGTGAATCTTTTTTATACTATGGCAAGATTTTCAGCAAAAATAGTAACTTGACAAGTGAAATTATCTGTTATATCTAATATTTCTCATTTTGAGGTTGTTGTAAAGGCTCCAGCACCCCTGCCGTGACCAAGAAGGATAAGCGGTTTAGATGATGTGTGTGTGTGTGTGTGTGTGATTGTTGTAACCTTATTTCAAGACGATTTCTCTCTATTCCATACATGTGTACTTGTTTGGGTAATTTTAGTAAGTCAGATTTTCTCACTGTATAGGCAGATTAATTTTGCTTGTTTTAAGAAACATGCTTTAAACCAGCAAAATTATCTGCCAATGTAATGAGGTCATTTTACTCAACAAAATTACTTAAAGCAAGTACAAATGTATATAAATAAGTTAAATAATCTTACAACAACCTCAAAATGAAGAATATTAGATATATCAACTAGATTCAAGCTAATTTCGCTTGTCAAGGTACCATATTGATTTTAGCTGTTTAACCCTTAAATGCATACCAACCTCATAAGGAAATACAACATAATAAACACATTTTTTTTCCTTCTCTTGAATTTTTGGGGGTAGTGAGGGGCCTGGGTGCACAACTGTGCCAGGGGCCCAAATTTGGTGCTATGCCCCTGGGTAAAACAACAGATATTGTGTTTTTGTACTGTTTTCAATTTAATGCAGTCCAAACAAAATGAACTATTCACTGCTTTCTGTTTTTATTAACGTTTTACTGTCCCAACTTTTTTGGAATTGGGTTTTTTGGGTATTTTGGTCTGTTGCAAATTTAGTCTGTGAACAACAACGTGGGCATGTTCTTCATCCCCTCTCTCTCTTCTCCAAATCTCCACCTTGCTGTTATTTCTTCTACCTCTCTGCCTGTTCTTTTTATCCAGGATCTACAGACATCCTCTCTGGGCTTTGGCTCTGTGCTCCCTTCTCATATTACTGATGCTCCACTAGCGCTGTTGCCTTCATGCATCTCTCAGCAGGCGCAGCCTCAGAAGACAGCAGCCCTCCTTAATGGCTCCACACCAGCACCTGCCCCAACCTAGACCCTTAAAAAAGATGGTTCTTCAAGAGTTCTTTAGCAATACGGTTCTATATGGAACCTTTTTGAAAAGAGCTCTATATAACACCAAAAGGGTTCTTCTTTTCTTACAGGCTTCTCTATCAATCTGAAGAACCATTTAACAATGCAAAGGACCCTTTCATCATGCAAAGGGTTCTTTGAGTGCCCATGGTTCTATACAGAACCAATTTCTTCACTAAAGAACTCTTGAAGAACCATCATTTTTAAGAGTGTACAATTCCTAATGCAGCTTTCCTAAAGAAGTGTCTACTGAAGGTTTGGCATCATTTGCTGGTTGTAGTGTTGCAGTATCTTCAGCAATTATCTGTAAATGAAGTCTCGCATTAAAGTTGCAAACAGCAACACCAGGTGAGTCAAGGACCTTTTTAGAACTGAAAGAGTTACTGTTGTAAACTCTTCGTTCACTGAGGCAGGGATACTGATACAGACAACGGTTCAACTGAAACTTAAAGGGCCTATATCCTACCTACACTGTTCTTGTATATTATTGTTTTCCCCCCAGACATTTGTGGGGTTTTTTGTAATCAAAAACATTCATAATTCATTTTTACATGCTCATTTTACAACCTCCCTTTGTGCCATAGAATTAAAGAAGTTATAACTTTAAGACCTACATTTGTAAATGACCTCTGGTCTAATTAGCTGACCTATACTGTAACACATTCAACAATGCAGTCCGGGCTGAAACACTCCTTATAACTTCAGCATAAATGGGCGGAGCTAAACTGCTGTAGGCTGGAGAAGTGAGTATATGTAAATGCTTTGCTTTTTGTGACATTACAAAAAAAAAAATCCAAATGCTTAATTTTAATGTATGGACTTTATGGATTAAGATGTAAACGGTACATTTTTAAATTTTAACAATGCTTATATAGCACATGAAACTCTTTTTTATAAATTATTTTTAAATGATACGGGCCCTTTAATTTCCAGTTTATCTTTCAAAATTTATATCCCTCAAACTAAGTATTGGAAGTAAAATTAGACTGTTATATTTCAGTGTTTATGCTGTCTTCATGATTTTGATCAATGGGATTTGGAAAACAAAGTTCCTAAATGTTATTTTTTGTTGGGGTAACAGCAAAATTGCTTCTGGGTCGAGTACACATTAAAACTGCCAAAACTCAAGTGCAGGTCCTTGAAAAACCCAGACAAGTATGCCAGTTATAAAACAAACATTCCACTACTATCTACCACTGTGGAAAATATGCTGTTTTTTTCTCAGTAGTGCGAAACATGAAAAACACATATTAAAGGGCTCATAATTAAATTATTTTAAATATTACAAATTAAATTAAATTATTAAATTATTTTTTAAATTAGATTATTTTTACAACATCTCTTTCTCATTTAGAATTAATCAGGCTGTTTTTATTACTGTGCCTTTAAGATATTAGTGACATATGACATGTAAATGACTTCTGTTCTAATTTGCTTCCATATTCAACTTTGCCAACTATGCCTAACTTCAGTATGAACGGGGTGGAGCTAAACTGCTGTAGGCTGAATATGTGGACCCTGCTGAAACAAAACCATAGAAACCATGAAGTACGGAACTGTGTTTTAAAACTAACACTGTTCAAATACTACATCAAATTATTTTAGGCTAAAAACGTGAGGAAAAGTCGTTTTCCAACAATACGGGTCCTTTAATTTCTAGTCTTCAAAAACGTTTACAGCACTCCAGTGACTGAAATTAGCTGCTGAGAGTGGTATAAATTCGGGACAGACTTTCCCGACAGAGACGCATTTTGCACGTCGATGCTCTTTTTTAGCCACCGTGGCCCTTTAAGAAACTCCATATTGTCCTGACATGTGATGCGTCAACACAGAGGGAACGGATGGTGCTGTTATGTAAAAAAGAAAGAAAAAACAGAATTAAAAAAAAGAAACAGGGTGAAAGTGTCGGTCAGTCGTGTGCAGGGATGAGAGCGGTCTGTTTAGAGTGAGCTAACTGCGTACCCGGATGGCACTGAGTGGGAAACAGTCCTCGACGAGGATTGAGAGAAAACTCTGTGGATAAAACGAAAGACTGAAGTGAGCCGTCAGCGCAGCCCCGCGCGCTCGCTGAAGAATTAAAGTCTCGACCAGCACCTACACAGGAAGGTAAGACACTGAGGCTCAGCTGGCGGGAGAGCTGAGGGGATGTTTTGTTCAGTTTCTTCAGCTTTGCTTGTCTGCCAGAGCTTTATTTTGAGACACTTGCGCGCTGCAGTTTGTTGAAGTTGTGTTTTTTCGTGATATTTTTTGCTCTTTGCCAAAAGGCACGTCGAGGCTGTGGTTCGTGGTGAAAGTACCTTTAAAATTAGCCAGTTAATAAACGTCTTCAGCTTGACACTGCGGTCATGTTAAAGCTAGCCTTAGTAGCCCGTTCGCCTCTCATAGACGTTTGTTTGCCGTGAAGGAAATTTTCCTCGGAAAATAGTCGCCCAAACTGTCAAAAAAAAACCCCAACGAACTGTCTTTGGTCTTTGGCAGAAGAAACCTCCATGGCAGAATTTGGCCCCTGTTGACCATCACGGGTTCTCGACGTCGTTCTCGTTGTTTCCCTGTCGAAAAACGCAGAACTCGAGCTGAAGTTCAGCTGGATGTGTGCTTATCAAGTTAACTGTCAAAAACATGGCCAGTTTCCCCGAATGAAGTCTCACCCTTAGTGAAGACAATCCTGAGGGGTTCACAGGAGTAAAACCCTCCCTGTTTACCTTCTCCTGAGGTTTTGACTAGCCTGAATCTAACTGCCTGTTATGTATGGATCTAAGCCACTCTTCCTGACAAATTCACGGTTGTTCCCCTCATACTGACGTTTATGGCTGATGACTAAATGTACAACTCAAAACAAGGAAACACACATACTCAGCAGTCTCATAAGGCCAGCTGTGGACTTGTACACACCTGCTCATCCAGCACTTCTTCTGAATTCAGTAGTATCAGTAGGAAGTTTGTCCCCACTTTACTGCAGAGAGTAACAGCCTCTACTCTTCTCGGAAGGTTTTACACTAGATGTTGGAAACATTGCTGTGAGGATTTGATTGCAATTTAGCCCCAAAAGCATTAATGAGGTCAGGTTCTGATGTTGGATGATTAGTTCTGGATCACAAACACAAGTGTAGGCTAATAAAAAACACGTATTGGGAATACAGATTCAGAATACAGACATTAAGTATCTGTACTCAGTCCAAGTTTTGAAAAAGCAGTATTCAGAATACACTTACGTTTTATATACTTAGGAGAAAACTTTTAGAATACTTACCCACTAAAAAAACCATACAGTATTCATAAGAAACAACATCAATGTGTGTTTAACTGTTAACTATGACATGGCGAACATGCTCATTTAGACTAATTCTAAAGAGGCCCTAAGTTAATGCCTTTCTTTACAGACAGTGAAGTTGCTGCTAAAGCCTGAGTAGACTGATAAATCAAAGTGATGAGCCAGTTATTTATCTCAGTGCTCCTGAGCTCTACTAAAGCCTGAGTAGACCGATAAATCAATGTGAAAATCAGGTATTAGTCTCAGTGTTACTGAGCTCCTCTAAAGACTGAGTAAACTGATAAATCAGTGTGATGAGTCAGTTATTAATCTCAGACTCTTTTGAGGGATGATCAAACTAATAATCTTCTCAGTGGGGACGTGTTTGTGAGTAATAAGTTTAGCATCAGTGTTATACTGTACTGCTCAGGGGACAGCAGTGGACTGAAGCAGGTGGTGAGACAGGAAAAAAGAAAAGAGAATTTTCACAAGTTTATTTAAATGATAAGCGAGAATACCAAGAAGTATTATAAATGTATTCTGAATACGTTACTTTTTAAAATATTAAATATGTCACTCAAAACATTTAGGATAATGTATTAAATATTCAGCCATCACTGCTTTTTCAAAGTATTTTTTGCCTAACCTGCAAATGCCACTCCAAGTCATCCTAAACTGTTGGATGGTGCTCTATCACCAGAGAACACAGTTAAAGTGGTCGACAGTCCCATCCTCAGGCCTACATGTGGCTGCTCCAGAGCATCCTGTTCTGTTGGCAGTGTTTTTCTTTGGAGAGTATACAAGCTGTGTGTGCAGTTAAACACCTTTGTCAGCAGTGAGTGCACAAGTAGTCTAACTTACTAATTAGAAGAGTTGTCTGGATACTTTTGGACATAGTGAATTTAAGGGAAATGGAGTGTCAAGCATGAGCAGTATCACATAAGGAAGCTATGCTTTACAGAATTCTTGATCATTGTTATCTTTTTTTTGGTTAAGCGTGCAACATGAGCAAGAGAAGGTAAAACTACCTGCTTTATCGCTTTATCTATCTGCCCATATAATGCAGGCTGGAAATCTGCTGATGCTTTGACAGAATGTTCTTTCCAAACTCTAACATTGTAAAGTGAGTTAAGCAGGAAAAGGAATACAGACATGTAGACCAGTTGCACATGCAGTGCTAGGTGGATCTGTCTGTGACCCTGCCATGGCTGTTCAAAGTCCAAAGTAGGCCTAAAGTACATTAGTTAGGAAAGCTATGGTGATTTGAGTGCATTTTGAAATGTACAGTAGTTCTTAGCTGAATGTTTTAGGCTGTTTTATGGGAAATACGAAAAAGTGATTTGTTTGCCTTGTTTTAAACCAAGTGGTAGAAAATTATTATTGTGTTTATGAATCTGTAATAAGAGGGACGGTATCCATTTAGAGAGCATTAAATTGTAGAGAACCCAGGACCTGTTGTCTGTTTTATATGTAGTGTTAATAATGGCAAAATAGTGGTAGTGGTAAAAATCATCAGTTTGCACACCTTCTTGCCTTATAACTCTCAAAAAAATGTATTTCAAAACTATCATTGCAAAATGCCTCAAGCATTCGTAACCATGCCATATTAGAGCATCCTGATAGATTAGAGTCATTAATTTTGAGTCTACATGTTTTTCTAAAGTGGTACATTTCACATCAAACCACCAAATCTGCAGAAATCCCATTTATTACACACCTCTGCATTAGTTACTGAATAATTAGTCTTCAGTTCAAGGGATGAATTTGTGAATTTTAGGGAAATGATGGTTATCTTTATTATGTCTAGTTGTTTCTGAAGTATTATGGAAATAAGCTGTGATAAGTTGTGAACAGCATGTTTTTTTCTGAAGTTCAGCTCTAGACAGAATATGTATAGATATTTCACTCTGAATAACCTGATCTTCTCCTCTCTGTTTGCGTAGTTGCACCAGTCTTTAGTCTGTGCCACCTATATTTTGTGTCAGAGCTAAAACTGTGTAGCAGGCTGGTAAACAACATGTGGGTGGAATGTGTCTGCCCATGTCAAACACTCATTTAAAGTGATGTTTCTGAATATCTCACATTACAGCTTTTTCCCCAAGTAAACTGTTGCAGTCTCTCATTCTGAGGAAATTTGATAGTTTTACAGTTCTAGACTGCAGGGCAGAATGTAGCAGATGGTTAGGAATCATAGATGGATTAGATTGTTTTATACAACAGACCACAGCTTGAACATTTCAGTGTGCTTTGTGTGTTAAAAAGAGAATTTTTGGTGGAATACCTGGGTATTAGGGATGGGCATTTCAGGCAAATTTGATAAAAGAAATTGTACAGCACTATTTGAAACTACTATTTAAAACTCCCTGATCTTAAGACCACAGGCTACCGTACGGCGGGCACTTCAGGAGACAGTGACCAGAGACACTGACGCCGCTCAGCATCTTTCTGTTATTGTTGACATGTGAAACTGAAATTTACACCAAGTAAAAAGGCATCCAAGGAAAGTCCTTAAGATAAACAGACACATTTTAATTGTCTGTTCACCTAAAGTCACTAAAGTTTGCTTCATATTTTAGATGGAAAATAGTGAGTTAGTTACTCACTGATACCAAACATTCACTAAATGGTGATGAAAGTTGAATCTCATTAAATCTATATGAGTGTGAAATAAGCTTGATGTTTATCATCACTTTTTTTGGTGATGCTTACTCTGTAATATATGTAGTATTGTTGTACTTGGCAGCAAAGGTTCTTTGAGAATGTGTAGCATTAGAGACAGTCTAATTTGCAAACAATTCGAATATTCGAAAAATTCAGACTCGCCCATACTGGATATCATTGTATCCTTGTTTCTGTTGTGTTTTTGAAATTCTCCAATAGAAAATGATACTGATAGCTGCCCTTTATGTTAAAATTTCATGCTAAACCAAGCAATTGAAAATGACTTGGAAAAAACATCTTGTTCCATTAACGTCCTTTGAAAGTTAACAATTTGTCCTGTAGAGTTACCATTTTGGAGTTCTGAGGTTTTGTTGTGACAGTGGTGATAAATTTCACCATAAATGCATGCATGCACAAAAAGTTATAAAGCTTTTTGTCATGTGGTACTGCACATTCTCCAGTGCCGTCTACTCCTGTGTCATATTCCTGACATTTTGATGACTACTTTTTGCTGTCACCTGGACCTGGAGTTGCTAAACTGACATTTAGTCTGTTCTTTAAACCTATTTTAAACGTCTGTTGGGTGTGCTGTCTATTTCCTAAAAAAGCCTACAACCTACAGGTTTCTGTTCTGTTTTTTTAACTCTTAGGATCTCTGAGTTTCTGCTCTGTTTTAAGTGACTTGCAGTTTAAGTCTGGTAGAATGATTAAGTCTGGCAGATGTATGTTGGACATTTCAAAATCTACAACTGTACCTTTTCAGTTCTTCTAGCAGAGTGAGGTAGATTTAAGATGAAGGGCTGTGTAATTGGACTTTGGTGAAAATAAAACTAAAACGTAACATGATCTGATGATCATCATTAGCCCGCACTTTTTAGTGGCTTGGCAGTAGTCCTTTAACACTTGTGTGGGTCCATGTGTGCGTGTTATGTAATGATTTGAGCTTGTCCTCAGATCTTTGGCAAGAGCTTGTGTTGAGGTCAGCTTCTTGTCCAGCGGTCCGTCTCATGAAGCACGTTCAACTTGGCCAGGGTTCCTGGCTTCATAAATCACAAGTTTGAGCTTCATGAAGTCTAAGAAATGTGACTGTGGTTAACTCGTTTAACAACAGCGGTCAACAACTTCCAGTCGACCCAGTCAAACTCTGATGAGTCCTTGTGTGAGTAGCCTAACGTAATGATGAACAGCTAATTGT